CATGAAGAATTGTTCGTGAGAAGTCAATGTACACCAACTTTTGTTTGGATCTTCTTTATTCCAGTAGCTTTGCCGGTGTCACAGGTCGTTGTGGTTGAACCACTGGAATATAAATTTGTTGTGTAAACGAAGTTCAAGTGAAGTTAGAATATTTTTTTGTCGAAGTTATACATTTACAAACGCTTTGCTCTTTATGAAGTGTGGGAAAAAATCTTTCCCCGAAGGTTTCGTGCAGTAGCTTGCAATGACACGTAATAGTTCTAGAACTAGTAATCAAAACTTTGATTTAAAAAGAACGAAAAGCTTGGAAAAGGCACTCACGAGATGTAAACAGTAATGCTCGTTTACGTCTTTCTTTCCAAATATTACGTCAGAGTGACGTGCTTCTCAGTCGATAGCAAAACAATAGGTCACGTTGGTGTCAGTTTTCAGTTAAATGAATTTTCAGAATCATTTTATTCAGCAAGCAAGTCTTCTTTGGATAACTTTGCAATATTTAGCAAGCGTTCTTTGAGGCAAGAGGGAGGAGTGCAAACTTAGATATGGCCAATGTTTGCCTTGTGAATCAGAAAAAATTGTTCTGTTAAATTTTTTGAAGTACTTTGTGACACGTGTTTTCTTGAGAAGCTGTAAAATTTTCATTTATTTCATTTGAGAGATACTTGAATGCAAACTTCTGCCATCGTTTTATTCCCCAGAGTTTACGACGCATGAAGAATTGTTCGTGAGAAGTCAATGTACACCAACTTTTGTTTGGATCTTCTTTATTCCGGTAGCTTTGCCAGTGTCACAGGTCGTTGTGGTTGAACCACTGGAATATAGATTTGTTGTGTAAACGAAGCTCAAGTGAAGTTTGAATATTTTTTTGTCGAAGTTATACATTTACAAACGCTTTGCTCTTTATAAAGTGTGAGAAAAAATCTTTCCCCAAAGGTTTCGTGCAGTAGCTTGCAATGACACATAATAGTTCTAGAACTAATAATCAAAACTTTGATTTAAAAAGAATGAAAAGCTTGGAAAAGGCACGCACAAGATGTAAACAGTAATGCTCGTTTACGTCTTTCTTTCCAAATATTACGTCAGAGTGACGTGCTTCTCAGTCCACAAAAAAACAATAGGTCACATTGGTGTCACTTTTCTGTTAAATGAATTTTCAGAATCATTTTATTCAGCAAGCAAGACTTCTTTGGATAACTTTGCAATATTTAGCAAGCGTTCTTTGAGGCAAGAGAGAGGAGTGCAAATCTAGATATGGCCAATGTTTGCCTTCTGAATCAGAAAAAAATTGTTCTGTTAAATTTTTTGAAGTACTTTGTGACACATGTTTTCTTGAGAAGCTGTAAAATTTTCATTTATGAAGGGGAACATAAAGTTTTGGGATTTTATAAGAAGAACCTCCTCCACCCCCCCCCCCCCCACTTCATCTTGGTTCTCTTGCCAGCTCTGTTATTTTCTTTCCACTGCAATGTAAAGGAATGGATTATTTCATCTACCTGCAGGATGCCATCCCCTGGTTTGGCATTGAACAAGAGTACACATTGTTAGACAAGGATGGACACCCCTTAGGGTGGCCCAAGGGAGGTTTCCCAGGTCCACAGGGCCCCTACTACTGTGCTGTTGGTACTGGAAATGTTTTTGGAAGAGATGTTGTAGAAGCTCACTACCGAGCCTGTCTGTATGCTGGAGTTAAGATTGCTGGAACTAATGCTGAAGTCATGCCTGCACAGGTGAAAAGATTAATATTTTTAAGTTTTATTACCACAGGGTATGTTATGTGTAGAGTTACCTGAAAAATTTGTTGAGGACACTGCATTTTTGTTAGGTCAGTTTATCATCATCGGCACAATTTGTACTCCTTAACCTTCCAGTGATTCAAATGGTCTTTGCCAATTTCGAAAAATGTTATTGAAATGAAAACAATTGCAAGAGAAGGATTCAGAGTGATTCTCGAGTTTGAAGATGTTCATCTGATTCATAATAAAATCCTCAAAATTGACCGGCACAAGGAGCTTGCATGGAGTAACCTTTTTCTATTGCCTTTGTTATTTTGTAGTGGGAATATCAGGTGGGTCCTTGTGAAGGAATCTCCATGGGCGATCAGTTGTGGATGTCCAGGTTTCTGCTTCACCGTGTTTCAGAAGATTTTGGTTTCAAGGTCTCTTTTGACCCTAAACCCATGCCAGGAGACTGGAACGGAGCTGGGGCGCACACTAACTACAGGTGAGGCTTACATTGTGCAGACAGGCTCAACTGAACAGTGTCTGTTTATGAAAGCAATGTTGTAGTCGTAGTTTGCTTAATCCCCCTCCCCTGATACCAACAAAAACATATTCAAGTTGAAAAATTCCATTCCAAATTCATGACGTCCCTCTGACCAGCTGCTGCTTTGTGAGAGAAATCATTATGTACATGTAGAATGTTATGAGCTGTGTAACTGCTCCTCCAGTAGATTTCCAGTAGTTCAGTTGGATGAAACATGTTGTCAGTCACTTGAATTAAAATAGAGTTGCATTCTCAAGTTTTGGCTGGTTTATTGGCTCTAGAATATTACAATATAGTACTGCTCAATCTCTCTAATGCACTGTTGTGCCATCTGTGTTACTTTTTTTGGTTGTGTCATATCAACTAAGAGATGGACTGACCTTGGGCAAGGGATATGGTTTCTTACGTTTGTACAATGAATTATTGTACAAATCCAAAATTTAAACAATTTGTTCACATTTGCATTTTCACCTATCCTATTGTGTGACTACCTTCTCTGAGCATTTAAAGTTAGGGTTTGTTATTTCACTTTGTTAGGGGTTCAGATTATGCAAATAGCAGGTTGATAGATCATCTGTTAAGTTTTAGTTGATTGTGGGTGCATACATTGTTTGACATCTATGGGTAAAAAGTGTTCAAAGTGTTGGAACTGATAGTCCAAATAACCCAAATGAAATGTTAGAACCTCTAATTTGTTGATCAGGGAAAGATCTAGAGTAATGGCAGCTTGTAACTGTATTCAGAGTAATTGTGGGTTAAAATTCCTGGTTCATTTGTTGGTTGGGGAAAGTGTTAATTTCAATTGTTTGGACATGCAGCACACAACATGTACAATAAAATTATTACATGGTTGCTGCAAACAAGACCAGGAAAGGGTTGATTCAAGTCACAAAAAGTTTGGCTTACATCTATCAACATTGTCTTACAGCATTGGTAAACAGCTTTTAAATAACTGTGGGTATGAAGTCTGGAGAAGAAAATATTTTTAAAAGTTCAGTTAGAATCATTATTTTCAGTTTAAGAAGATTTGCTTATTGCTTATTGTAGTTGTTCTTTAAAACATACCTAAGTTTAAAAGACGAGTTTACTCATAGAGCACATTGATTTATTAACATTTTGACCTGATTTTTCCACAGTACCCTACCCATGCGTGAAGAAGGTGGAATTAATTTTATCTATGCTGCCATCGAGAAACTCTCTTCCTACCATGAGTACCACATCAGTATGTATGATCCTAAGGGGGGAGAGGACAACAAACGTCGTTTGACAGGGCACCATGAGACTGCTAGCTGGAAGAACTTCTCACACGGAGTAGCTAATCGTGGTGCAAGCGTAAGAATTCCTCGTCAGTGTGCTGAAGATGGATACGGTTACTTGGAAGACAGAAGACCAGCTTCTAACTGCGATCCTTACAGAGTTACAGAGGCTATTGTTAAAACAACCATCATGGGTCATGCTTGACGGGCCTTGTAGTTGGCAATCCTTTATGGACAAGAGCTGCCATTTATCTATTGATTGACTCTTGCATGTACTAGTTGTTATGCTACAAAAACTTAGGGGAAAGTAGAACTCCTGTTTATTTAAGTATTTTTGTTTGGCTATGTACAGGTTTATGAACTAATGATTGATGGGTTCCTTGTTCATGTCAGCATTAATAATAGTAATTGTTGCCAAGATTTCACTAATTATGCATAATGTTCCATCAAAAGGAAGTGCTTTTTCTGGCAAGTTATTTAGAGTTAGATCATTGGATCTCAAACAACATAAGTCTATTTTAGTAAATTCTAAAAAATTTCTATAAATATTTATAAATTAGATTATTTGCACTGTGTTTAGCATGTGTGGGAAAAGGATTGTGGTGTGAATGACAAATAGCATTGCAATATAGCAGGAGTATAGTTGAATCTAAACTGTGCTCTTATTGGCTGATTTAAGGTCACATGGGAATGGCTAAATCTCACTATATTCCAGTCTCCCACCAACCAGAGGATACTTTGACTTTTGGTAATTGTTATTTCCTTATTACCTTTCACTAAACCCCAGCTATAAAACAGAACACTTAATTAAACAATTAGCTTTGTTTTCCCGTCAATTCTTGATGTTTGTCAGGACAAAGTATAGTATTGAACTGTTTGCAGTAAACATCATTTTTCTTTTGTTTAAAGTTATTAAACAGATTAAATTAATTAAGAGTTATTGTAAGTAATGTTAAAGAGTTAGTAGTTTAATAAAAAGGTCATTTTCTTCAGAATTCAGTGCGTGTTATTTGTCCGCGAGTGAAAGAATTTACACTCAAATCACCCTGAAACGATTATAAAATATTTTGTAACTTATCTTATTAAACACAAACACAGCATCAGGAGCGGGCATCTCGTTTATTGATGCCCGCTTTCGAAATAAAAAAAGAGAACCTTGGAATCTAAGTGCGCAAACTTCTGGACGTTGAAAGTAAAGATTCTAACTTCGCCTTAGCCGTCCTTGGCTCGATCTGTCTTCCATCCGCCATGACGATTAAAGAGTCGATTGTTGACGCCTGCGCGTTAGCGACTGCAGAAACACCCTGCTCGTAAGCTATGCAGATCAAACAAGTGTTTAGGATACGCTAGTTCTTATATAACTCACACAGGTGTAACGAAAACTATAATTTCAGTAACTCTAGTTTCTCGCGCGCTGATTGGCTCATTTTTATCAATAAGAGTACAGACGGACACAGATAAGATTTTAATTAATGCAGGCTTTTAAGTTCAACTTTTTAACCAATGAGATTTTATGGACTTTTTTAAGTAGCCAATCAAAACGCGAGAAAAGCTACTGACAATGTTCGCGTCATTTTGAATACAATTCGCTTATATTTGTTTGCGGCAAGTTTACGGCGTCTTTTCCCCTCATTTATTCTCGGCATTTGACCATTTTGGGTCTTGTTATTATAAAAAAAAAAAGCAACAACAAATTGACGTCAGTTGTTTATGCGTCTGTCTTCTTATTGGTGATAAATTTCGTCATGGAATTATCAAAGTTTACTGCGGAACCACTAGCCTCCCACGCAGACGCTCTTAGGGCTCGTCACGCGTTCGTGGGGAAGGAACGCGTGACGAGCCCTAAGAGCGCCTGCGGCTCGTGATTCCACAGCCACTTTGACAATGTTATGGCGCAATTTGTCATCAATAAGAGGACAGACGCATTAAAAAACTGACGTCGATTTGTTTAGGAGAAGTAGCTTTATGAAATTGCAAAGAGCGAAAAAACGGTAACGAAGAAGACAAATGCATCGCAAAACTAACGTCACAACAATGAAGGCTAGCTAACTCGTTGTCACGGAAAAAAGCCGAATAGGCAGTCACGCAAATAGCTATGGCGCGTTTTCAGGGTCAAAATTAAAAACTAACTTTTCCACCTTTCCTTACCTGCTAAGTAAAATGTCTGTCATTTCCTGTCTTTGAAATTAGACAGTACGCATGTCTTTTGACCTCCGAAACAATACATTCCGCGTTTCCTGAATACTAAAATCATAACATCCGGCATATTTTGACCTTTGAAGAAAATTCTCCGCGTTTCCTGACTTCTCTCGAATTTTAAGTCCGGCATGTTCTGACTTTCAATGTAATTAGTTACCAAAT